ACTACTATTAACAGTTTCTGTTTATTTCTCCCAATTAGTCCTCCAGAAAGAAGCTAAAGTATGTATATCAAAAGACAACAAGGGTCTAGGGAGATAGCTCAGTAGAATAAGTGCTTGCCTGGCAAACGCAGGGTCCTGAGTTCAATCCCTGGTACTCCCAAAAATAAATAAATAAATAAATAAATAAATAAATAAATAAGAAAGAAAGAAAGAAAAGAGAAAAGAAAACAAGATTGGGTCAGCAAGATGTTCAGTGGACTAAGCACATCAGCTCAGGCAAATGCAGGGAGTGGGGTTTGATCCCCAGCACCACATGCCGTACCACACGCCCACCACGGGCATGCTGAGTAGGCCACTGAGTCCTGGTGTGGTAATGCACACCTGTAATCCCAGTGTTGGGGAGGCTGCAAACAGGAGGATCACTACGAGTCTGAGCTGCATAGTGAGACCCTGTACCACATGAGAGAGAGAGAGAGAGAGAGAGGGAAGGAAGGAAGGAAGGAAGGAAGGAAGGAAGGAAGGAAGGAAAGAAAACGAAAGAAAGATCGATCATAATATATATGTGGCTTTTGAAACTTCTTTTTCTTCTTGGTGTAATGGGGCCAACTATGCATGTCAGTATTAACTGATACTTCAGTCTTTCAATAGCTTTATGGTAGCTCATTACTTTCTATTAATACATGGCTGCATTAATTCATGGTTACATTGCTTCAAAGTACTTACCTGGAGCCACACTTCATCACAAGACAGATGTTTTCTATAATGGATTCCTAAAAGTGAAATGTGGCAACGGGCAACATAGCTAGTACTAAGCTGTTCTCAAATTCAAGGGTACCTGCTTGCCTTCCTGCCTTAACCCACTTCCCCCAGGGCCAATACACAAGATCATCAGTATTGCCCCTCAAATACATGTATTTCAAATCAGACCGCTATTTTTTTTTTTTAATCTTTTAAAACCAAAGCATTTATTCTGAATGATTGCTGCAATTCTCAAGATGAACTGGACGCTGCAACTGCTGCTCTCTTGGGTTTAGGTGTCATTCCTTCGCGGAAGCCATGCCTGAATCTGCGATATACAATTTTTAGGTGCCTCATTCGACCGGTTCCGGTGGTATTTCGCCTTTTAGTCTTTGCACTCTAGTTATACTTTCTTTTGCGCTTGGCAGGATTGCCACATTTGCCACAAGTCGACTTCTGAAGGTAGTAGGCCTTAGACCCACAGCGGCAGCACAATGTGTGCGTCTTATTATGACGCTTTCCAAAGGATGATGTTCCCTTCGTCCTCTCGCTTGTGCTGCCGAGATCAAAGAGCCAGACCACTATTTTTAACAGTACTTCACAAGCCTGACTGTATATTGGATATGGTAAGATAATTTTCAAAAATACTTTTTAAATTCATCCCTTAAAGTTTTGTCATTAACAGTTCACTCTGGCCACAAAAAAAAAAAAAAAAAAAATCTGTTTTAACTTGCATTTGTTGACTTTTAATGAAGTTGAGAAAGTATTTACTTTTGTATGCTGACCACTGATACTTCCTCTTCTATGAACTGCTGATTTAAGGACTTTTGCCCACTTATGACCTCAGTTATTCATCTTTTACTTTTTGTCTACTATGACTTTGTGGAGGGGGATACCAATAATTGAATCCAGGGCCTTTACACTGAGCTATATCCCTAGACCTGCTTTTATCTTTTACTTTGAGACAGCATCTTATTAGTTGACCAGGTTGAATTAGAATTTTCCATCCTCCTGTTCGTCTCCAGAGTGCTGGGATTATAGGAATATACTACTATACATATCTTGGCATAACTTTTTTTTTTTCAAGCCAAACTGTATCCAGCTTTATTAAAAATACTTTTCATAAACAATCATGGTATTTCAGGCAGGACATGGGCACAATCTTTAACAGTATACAACAATTTTCAAACTCCCTTCTTGGATAGACTACCAAAAATCAGAAAACTACTATAAAATCCAATGAAGTCTTCATTTGCGGCTCTGAAGTAAGGAAAGTTTAGAGTGAGGGTTGACATTTCACATTTAGCATGTCGTTTTAACAACTTTTCACAAGCTGACCCTGGCTTTCAGGAAATGAAAATGGCAGAATTATCAATCTGAAGATCCACAGTCTAGAAGAAAGAAATCAGTTGCTCTTGTGGGACACCATCTCACTGTTACTGGCAAGTCCAGATTGCCTGACACACTGGTAACATCACTTTTGGGAATTAGATCCCAATAGGTCTCTGGGCTTAAGGGAGTTAAGCCTATGCTGATGGCAGAGGAAAGGAGGACATAAAATGAATTGGGAGCTGTCCCGTACCACAAGGCATTTATGCCAAGGTGGCCACATGTGTCAACATCAGGGAATCCCTCCTCCTGGGAGCCGAGAGGAAGTCTCTCAAATCCTGCAGGGACAGGTGCCTTCCCCACATCAATCCAGCTTTGGAGACATGGCACTACTGACATATGCTCCTTCCCCCCAAAACAACGATGAAGTGTTCTGTGTGCTAACAACATAGTGTAAAAAAAAAGTAAAACAAAATTCTGTATTTTTATAAAACTTGATAAAAAAACAGTATTTCAAACTGTATCATCGCCAGAAGTACACAGTTATCAAAAATGCACACACTTCACGTGGCATCTCCAGCACCTTTAGCTTTTGTCCCTGCTCTGTTTTGGCATCTCCATTTTCTGCAGGGTTATTCCCATCCCTGCTGGCATCAGCTTTTCCCTTTTTCCCTTTGGGTACCTTCTCTCCCTTCTTTGCAGGGCCCTTTTTAGGCCTGGGCTCTGGCTTTGGAGGAGCTGGGTTAGCAGACAACCTTGCAGATCTTCTTTGTGGTTCATCCTTCACCTTGGCTTTATCACCTTTAGCATCCTGTTTAGACTTTCTCTGGGGCATGGTGGTGATGGCGGTGGGACACAGGCACAACACACGAGATGCAGCAGCGCGCAGCTTTGGGCAGCCCTGGGTTTGTTCTCACTTCTTCACACTGCTCTTGGCATAACTTTTTAATTGAGAAAACTAAATTTCTTTCAAAAATGTCAAAGAATTTATCTACTTTTTTATTTCCAGAGTTGATGCTGAACAGGGTGAAGTTACTGCAATCCAGGAACTATGATATATATTTTTGTCCCTTTCTCCTTGATGTCAGTCAGCTACTGTGCTGAACCCTCACCAGGCCCTTTCATGTTATATGTCCTTGTATTTCAGTCCTGAGACTTTTTCTTAATTGTTTCTTCATTGATTTATATACTTTTGGGGGGGCTAGGGAGATGGCTCAGTAGAATAAGCGCTTGCCTGGCAAGCACAAAGGCCTGAGTTCAATCCCTGGTTCCACTAAAAAAAAAAAAAAGTTCCACCAAAAAACCCCCACAAAAAACAAAAAACAAAAAAACTGTAAACCTTTTGGTTTTCTTTTTCTGGAACTCTTGACTAGATACATACTGAATATCCTGGTCTGGTTCTTTAATTGTATTTTTTCTGTTGTTCATCTATTTTTCTGTCATTATGCTTAATTATTAAGAGGATTCCTTAACCTTTATCTCCTAATATGACTACTGAGTTTCTCATATATACTGAAGTTTTTAATCTCCAAAGTTATTGTGGCAGATGGGGTGGGGTCCCATATATAGTATCAGAATCTTTGCACATGTTTGATAATTCTGTGTTATCTGAATTCAAAATTAAATTCCTATCTAAAAGTTCCAAACACACAGGTGGTACTTTTCAAGTCTGTGCTTGGAGCTGGGATGCATTTGTAGCCAGTTTGGACTCTGAATATGAGGCTACCAGTTTACCAGCATAGAGTCTCTTATTTGCATGCAAATGTTGAGTACTCAGAATACTGAAGACATCAATAGGACCAGGGTCCTTTCCTGTGTCATGTGCGCAGTTTCCTAGCCAACCTCACTGCCCCCAGGATCTGTGATTCCCAAACCTGAAAGGCCCACAGAGTTGTCCTTTCTCGCATGTTTTGGGCTGTGGTGGCTTCCTTCAAATGGAGCCTATCAGTCCTAAGGAACTTCTGAAAATGTGTTGTCTTCCACAAGTATTACTTATTATTTTGCATTATTCTTTTATATTTTTAAAAATTGTGGTTTTCTCTATTTTTAGAAATTTGTGTACTTAGTTTATCATCTTCATTTTGTCTGCATGGGTAATTTTAAGATTTTGTAGCAACAGTAAATCAGTTCTTCTCTGTCAATTAATCTGGACCCCTGAAGAAGGATTTTAGATTTTTGCTGGGCATGGTGGGGCACAGCTATAATTTTAGAACTTGGAAGGATGAAGCAAGACTGCTGCAAGTTTGAGGCTTGTCTGGAATACGTAGCAAGATTGTGTCTCAAAAACAAAAACACAGATTGTAGATAATCACCTATTCTATGATGAGCACTGTGCCACTTTTGTTACGTTACTGATTTTATGTCCACAAAGCCTGAAAGTCAGATATTATTATCTCAGTTGTACAGAAGAATAAAGTTTTATCAAAAGGATTAAGCAACTTACTTGAGAGCCCCAGCCCTGTGGCTGGGCTTGGAGTCCTAGTCTAACTTGTTTGTGCACAGATGAAGAAACTGAGACCAAAGCCGACAAGTACTCTGCCAGAGTGACAGGTAACTAGGAGCTATAGAGCTCCCTGCATACTTGCTGTTTGTTGCTGAGTGGTTAGAAGTCACATAATTTCCAACAGCATTAACATGTAACTCTTCTTTTATTTCTTTCAACTCTGTGTGAGACTGGGGTGGATGGGCAGGCAGACTAGGAAAGATTTAAATAATAAAAACCTAGTTTTCTAAAAAGCATTCCGGATACATATGGACTTTAGTTAAACAATCCAATTTCTATAGTTTGTTACAAACACACACTATGACAGGAGCTGGTATGGACTTTCAGATTTTTTATGTAAACAGCCTGTAAAAACCGCAGATTTCTTAAGCTCATTTTCGGCTTCCAGCTCTGCCTTTTCAGCCTGCAAAGGAAATGCTTCCCTCCAGCCCCCACTGATGTTTTCCACTTTTCCAGTGATTTTTAAAAAATATTTCCCTTGGTAACCATTTTCCTTGGTTATTTTTTCTTGGCTGATTTTCTACAAAAAGAACTAAACGGCATTTGTCCCCAAGGAAATCAGTTATTTTAGAGTTTACTAAGAAGTCAACTAACATTTTTTCAACATTTCCTTCTGTTCTTTGTTTTTAAAGAAAGCTCTGATTTTGTTTCATTTTCAACTGGAGACTTAAATGACACCAAGCAAAGTCTACTTAGTTTAGATTTCCAGGTAAAAAAGTTTTAAATTTTAAGTTTCTACTAAGGCATGCGGAATGGTTTTAATACTCTTGTATTTTATATGCAAATATGTTTAATCCTAGGGAAAATTAGCTCTTTACTAATAGATTGTAAAAGTACAAAGTATGCATTATTCCGTCTTGTTGGGTTTTTTTTCAGGGTGATTACTTCCCAAGTATTTCAAAATTTATAGCTAGGATTAAATTATTTTCATGTTTGGATAGAATTATGTGGTAAACAGAAGTATAAATTGGCTTGAAAGTTTCATTCTTTTTCAATTTTTAATCCCTAAAAGATTCATTTAAAATGTTTTTAATTTGAAACATTAAAATGTTTTTAATTTGAAGAGGATGACTTCATGTAGAAGGTTAAAACTCAGGTGTTTTTAAAGTTTTACTTAACAGAATTAATGAAAAAATTTAAATGGAAAAAATTGTAAGTTAAAGTTTATAGATAATATTTAATGGTTGGGATAGACATAAAGATGCTTACTTGATAAAAATGATATTGTGATTAGAGTGTCAAAAATTTACCTCTAGAAATATCTTCATTCAATTATAAAGTTGCTTATTAGATAGTAAATGTAAAGCAAACTTCTATAAGTCTGAATATAAGGAAAGCCTAAGCATCAGTTATAAAGTTAGCATTAAGAGATCATTTCATAACATTTGAACAGTTTAATGATACTAGGTACTGGTTTTGTTGAAATTAAGGCAGCTTTGTCAATTCACTTTTATACATACTTTAGATTTCTGGGTAAGTAAAAAGGAATTGGCCTTAGGGAGGGATACAGGCTGGGAGGGGATTTCAGGATAAGGATCCTGGAAGACAGACAGAGTGACCAGTCTGGTGACAGCCAGTGTCCTTTCTCCTGCAATGCCCTGGCCAGGAGGTGCTCACAGGAGGCCCAGGACAACAGGATGCCTGAGACTCTCATGGGAGTTGATCTCCAGAGCTCTGTGGCCCTGGGCCTGATTTCTCATGATCTCACCTCTCACAGGGGACAGGGCCTGTATATATGATTGTCAAAGCAATAAACCAAGTATGTACATTTTATGCAATTCAGAACATTCATACTATGTGTCCACTTGCCCTGATTCTTAGCAAATTTTGGCTCTCTCCTCTCCACAGCTAGTTTTTATATTGAGTTCCCTTCTTGCTGTTGTTACTCCTATTGGCTCTATGAATTGACTCAGCAAAATTCCCAACAATACTAAATACAATTTCAGTTGTCAATAAGCTAACGAATTTGGGCCTTCTTTACATTTTGCATCTCATTTTTCTGAAACTAAAGTAGATCATGAAAGTAGTTGAAATACAGTTTCATACCAATGAGATATAGTAATGTTTCTGAACTGAACAAAAGTTTGCCACTGAGGTTGACAACACAATACCTCAGTCATTGAGAAGTGCTGAGCTAAGGTGACGTGGTAGCATGTCCATATAGGCAAAACCTGATTTAGAGGAGGATCACTTGGCAGACAGTGTTATAAAAAGAGCCACTGAGATTTAAGAGGGCCAACTAGACAACCTTCTCTTTTGTCCTTTCATCACATGCTTAGAAATAGTTGGCTTTTACAGATACATAAAAACATGAATATACACAGCTGCACTGGGAAATAAGAGGAGTCTCGATGGAATAGACACTGTAAGGAGTTCTTCAAACATTGAGGGAAGAGGAGGTTGAGCTTAAAGAGGGAAAATGCAGCCTTGAATAAACATGGAAGAAAACAGAAGAAAGAAAATACAGAGATTGCTTTGAAAAATCCCAAGAACAAATCAAGCAACAACAGTAACCTATTCCTAGCCACATTATAATAAAACTTCTAAGAATAAAAGATATCAAATCGCAAAAATTTTCTACAAGAGAATGAAAATGCAATTCAAGTCCAACGTCTTATCAACAAGAAAATAATCGAACAATATATGGAAAGTATTAGAGGAAAATTAAATGATTTTGAAATCAGATTCCTATTTTCTGTTAAGTGATATTTTCAGACATAAAAGAATGGCAAACTTTTTTAGCATATAAGATGCTATAAGACAAATAAGATCTGTCTGTCTGTCTGTCTGTCTATCTATCTATCTATCTATCTATCTGTAAGCAACAAAACAAGACTGAAGAAGCCTCTTTTAATGAGGCATGTCAGCCGCAATGATCTGCTGAGAACAACCAGGAAGATGAAAAAAATAATAGAGCCACTAATTGAAGCAGAACTGAACTCAGAGGGATCTCGAACAGCCTATCTTCTGGAAGCATTTCAATATGGATTCCAATAAAGGTGACTGAAAAGCTTTATGAGGTAGATAGAAGACAGAAATAAAGGAAAAGGGACAAACCAGTGGTGAGGGATGAGAAAAAGTGGCATTGATGAAATCAGCAGGCTTCGACTGAGCCCAAAATGTACTGATTAGTGGAGACTAACTTCAAACTATTTAATAACAATTGGTGATGTCTTTATACCCATGCCTAAACCAGATGCAAATTTTCTTTGGAATAAAAAACAGATCATCCTACAATACAAAATATTTTCATAAATTTCTATGCAATGCCTGGCACTTAATCAAAGACCACCAGATAAATAAAAAGACAAAATAATATGGCTAAAAACCTAAAGAAATAAAACACACACACTCACGCACAATAAATAACCCACTTACCTACTGCAAAGTGCCAAAACTGCAATTAACAGGGACACTGATATTTTAGTTTAGAAAGAACAACTCATACAGTACATTAATATCTTTTGTCTTGAAAAAAAAAATGTGTGCCACAAGTTTGTCACCATAGACATACAAGATCAAAAAACCCCTAGTGTTTAGAAAGACTTCAAAACGAATGTCATTCTAAAAAAAAAAAAGACAAGATTAAAAATTTTAGCAGAGAATTAGAAGAAATAAAACTTACTAAAAACTGCAAAGAAACACAATGAAACAATAAAATTTAATGGATAGGTTTAATAGCATATAAATGACAGCTGAAGAGAGTATAAATAAACCAGATCAGTTAGGAAACTAACCAGCATGAGTTAAGAAGGACAACAAATACAACAGAAGGAAAGTTACACTGAAGTCAGAGAAAAGACGCTGTCTACAAGTACCTGTGCATCTGAAAAGAAAAGAGGTGAAGGTCAAGGGATAGAGCTCAGTGGAACAGCACCTGCCTGGCATGCACAAGGTCCTGACTTCAATTCCTGGTACAAAGAAAAAAGAGAGATAGGAAGATAGAAAGAGAGAGAAAGAGAGAAAGGAGGGGGGGGAAAGGGGAGAGAGAGAGAGAGAGAGCGCGCGCAAAGAAAGGTGAGAGGAGGAGAAAAGCAGTGTGTGTGAAGGGGTAAGGGGATAAGGGGATAAGGGCTGGGATTTTCTCAAATGTGACAGCAAGGACCTAAGTTTGATCCCTGGTACCGCATGCCTAGCTGGGCACTGAAACCGGAAGTGGTGGCACATGCCTGTAATCCTAGCACTGGGGAGGCTGAGGCAGGAGAATCATTATGAATCTGAAAGGCACAGTGAGACCCAGTACCACATAAATGAATAAATAAATAAACAACTGGATGGATGGATGGATGGTTAAATGTGATGTGATGAACAGCAGCAAGCCATTAATTCACAAACTGCTATGAACCTAAACACAACACAAACAGGAGAATAACATGTTGGACCCATCAGAATAAAACAAATGAAAGCCAAAGACAAATACAACATCTTAAAAGGAATCAGAAAAAAAGCTAATTTTAAAAGTATTTAGACTGGGACTTACTCCTACATCAATGATACAGGAACAGTACTTTCAAAATGCTAAAGAAAATACATGTCAAATGAAAGCTTTATCTCAAGCAAATACATACTTTCAGGATAAAGGTAATATATTTTGAGATAAATGCAAAAAAAGAACTCATTTTCAACAGACTTGCAGAAAAATATTTACTAAAAGACATTCTTTATCAGATAGAAAATAATCCAAACAGACGATGGAAGATACAGGAAGGAATAAGGAAAATTAAGAAGGGTAAATGTTTAGCTAAGGAAAGTGACATCTAGTAATGTCTGGATACAGCTTTGGTTGTCAAAACTTGGGGAGAATGCTAGGAGCATCAAGTGAGGAGAGACCAGGATGCTGTTACGTGTCCTATCATAGTGTGGCTGGCTCCTCACAGAGTAGAATTATTTGACCCAAAATATTAATAATGCAGCAGCTGAAAAGGCCTGATTCTAAGTGAACACTGAATACAAAATAATAATCTTGTGAAGGCTTCAAATATAGAAATAATTAAAATACATGACATAAATAGCATATGTGCCAGAACAGGGAGATTGGAGTCTGTCGCGGTTCTTGCTTTTCTAGAAGGAGGTAAAAGCTGGGTATGCTGGTGCTTGCCTATAATTCCAGCACTAGGGAGGTGGAGGCAGGAGAATCATTGCAAGTTTGAGACCAGCCTGAGCTCAAAGCCATCCTGAAGAGCATAGTGAGACTGTGTCTCCAAAAGACAAAAAAGAAAAACAGGGCTGGCCAAATAGCTCAGTAGATTAAAGTGCCTGCAAGCAGGCCCAGGGGCTGGCAGTTCAATCCCCGGGCCTGCAGTGCTAGCCCTGCCCGCAGGGTATGCTGGGACCGCAATTGAGACTGGATGTGGAGGCGCACACCTGTAATCCCAGCTCTTGGGAGGCTGTAAACAGGTAGATCACTACGAATCCATTCTAGTAGTGAGACCTTGAACACCCTGTAGACCCTGCCCTAAAACAAAAAAACAAACAAACATAAAAGAGGTGAAGGTCTCAAAGGACCTTTGCTAAATCAAGGATATATGTGGTAATTTCTACAAAGAAAAGAACAGTAAAAGTATATAACTGCAAGCTACTTACTTAGGATGTTGAAGCAAAAGGATCGCAAATTCAATGCCAGCCTGGGGTACTTAGCAAGACGGTCTCAAAATAAAAATAAAAAAGGAGAGTATTTAGCTGAGTGGTACTTAGCATAGCACAACTTGG